AAATAAATTTAAAAATGATCCATCTGTAATTCCGCTAACTATCATTGATAACACCCAGGTTTTACATACAGACAACACCTCTTGTATCTTACCGTCTAAAGGTTCCTCACTACAAATAATATTTTTTAACTTAAACAGCAGTTGAAGAAAACTAAGGTCTTGTACGCGGCTTTCTCGAGATGAACCATGTTGTTTCACATTATGGTTGTCGGAAGTGACACGTACCTCAATGTCAGATTCAGTTGATTCATCCCGATGATCATCTGTTTCCATATAAGTCGGTGCTGGGTCCTTCGATGTAGATGGTTTATGATGAGATTTCCGTGTTTTATTGCGTTTGGTCAATTTTGGCGTTGAATCTTTCGCTGTTGTAAATAACTCCGACCAAAGAAGTTTGCCATTAGATTCTGTTCTCCCTTCCGCGATCTGATCAATTTGTGATGATTTTTTGGCCTTTGATGTAAGATCTTCAGTTGGGCGAACATTGGAGACGGGAGATGGCGGTACATTTATTGTAAGGGCTTTGCGATAGGTGCATTGAAATTCGGACATCAGCTCTCTAATTCTTTTTTCTTTTTGAAAAACTGGACAAATTTTCTGTAACGCCATATGATTACCACGACAGTTAACACAACAAAAGTTAGTAGTTTTGCAATTTTCATGATTTTTGGTACATTTTGGGCACACATGTTTTGTAGACGGGCATAGAAGTCGAGTGTGACCGAATTTCCAACATCGCGAGCATTGAGTTACTGGAAATACATATGGAAGGACATTTACCTTTAAGTTGTGTATTAAAATATGATTAGGCAATTGAGGTCCCTTAAAACCCAGGCGTATCGTCTCGCATTTAATCCATCCAGACCCTGTGTCATCTTTATAGTTTCTCTTGTTAAGTCTTTTAGCTGAAACAATGTTGATATCACTCGTAATATTTTTTATTATTTCGTCATCTACTAAATCTAATTCAACATCCGTAATTATCCCGTATGATATACCGACTTCAGAGGTAATTTGACATCTCCATTCGAGATCGCTGAAGGTTTTACATTCAATGAATTTATTGGCCTCTAAATCTGACTCGAACGTTATCAAAATTTTGTAATTATGAACGTATTTTACTCGACTAATGTTATTAATATTGTTTTCTTTAAGTATCTTGGCCAACGCAAATTGTTTTGGCAATTGCTTGCTGCAAGTTACGCACACTTGAATTTTTTCTTGTTTGTTCTCTTCAGTTTGTATAACCCGTCGTCTTAATTTCCTATCATGAGATACAGTATTCCACCCTTCTTCCGAAGAACTATCGACCCACTGTCTTTTGTTTATCGATTCCTCATTCTGCTTATTACTCACAAGGTTAGATTCAATGTCCGCAATTATTTCCATATCTTCTACATCTACCTCCCGTTCGACATTAATTTCCATTGCTTCAGTCGAGCGGCCGCGCGGCCGGCTCGAAATAATGTTGCACTTGTTTACAATACACACCGAGTGAAACAAAAAACGCGTGCACTCAGTATGACGTCACGCAGCGGACTGGGTGCCTCTATTGTTTTTTTTATTAAGTTCTTACGATATTAATTTAATAAATAACATTTTCATACGATTTATTCTCTTGTTTTTATATATAACAATTAAAAAATAATGTTTAGGCTAGCTATTGCAAATATAGTCACAACGTAAAATGACTAATTTTAACATTAAACAACGACAAAGGTACACGTGTACCTAATTTTTTTTATTACCATTTATTTACATTCTTCGTTATTATTCGAAAAATCGCAAAATTGTTTAACCTCTTTTTGGATATCGGGTAAATAAATATCTGATATTACCGGGGACAAGGGCCTGTCCCACCACTGGCAGATAAAGGCTTAGATAGCTTAAAAATGACGTCATCGTCAGATAAGGCGAAAAAAATCCGATATTTCCATCATATATTTTAAACGTTGGATTGTTATCAGATAATTTACAATTCAGTGGGACAGGCCCTAAGAATTTTATTATGATTGAAGCTACATTATGATACAAAATATATTACTATCTCAAGTTTGTTAAAGAAACTGAGCGAGATGCCAAACTATTTTGTGTAGTGGAATATAGTAATGATCTTCAAATTTCAAGGTGATATAATTTGACAGTCTCGTTTATACCAGTTACTAGCCGGTAGCCGGTAAACTCAGTCTGTGATCAGATCGCATCGGAGTTGGTTTGATTTACTATTTTAGTAACAAAATTATTCATACTTTATTCGAAAGTAGGTAAAAATTTTAATATGTTAATTAATTTATAACTAGTTACAACAATAATACTTTGTACAATTCATCTTCTAAGTTGTTTTTATTATAAGAAAATGAGTTTTGCATTTCATTTTCTTTTTTAATTATTTTTTCTGTTATTCATTTTCGTTGATTGGACAAAAAAGTATTTTTTTTAATTTATCAATAGCGTTTAGTTTCTACGACGTATTAATTTTATATTTTATGCAGTTTTATCTTATCTTACGTTAGATTATCAAAAAAAGGCCGTTGCATTACATTTGGTTTTGTTACTAAGTAAATTAATAAGATAAAACTTCACTGGGTGGTAATTTTGCGAGATCTCCATTATTTTTCGGTCACATTTAAATCGATACAATAAACGAAAAGAGTCGTATTATTATAAAGACCACTACACGCAGTTTTATCTTAACAGTTCGAATCTTCAGATAAATCTGTGAGATAAAAATGCGCGTGTGTAGCGGCCTTAAGAGATCTAACTCCAAAAGCGAACGCGAACCTTTGAGTAAACAATCGCACAACAGTCGCAGTGGCGCCATCTGGGAACAGGCAACCACTTCTCTCCCTCTCTCTCTCTCCGGATCGTTTCCTCATTTCTGAGGGTCGCGACCACTTAGTCACAGATAAACATTGAATTTGTGTTTATTACGAAAATACAAATTGTATTTTTATGTTAACTATTTATAAGGAAATGTGATGCGATATGAAATAATAGATTATTAAATGACGAAAAAATCACAAAAAAACTAAAATACCATCTTAGTGTAATTTTAGTTCTCGAACTTCTTAAATTACTTTGTGTCTTCAAATAGGGATTTTTAATATCATATTCTATAGCACTAACAAATCTGAAATGTTTAATTTTCCAGATAAACCCACAACACAGTGTACCAACTCTCGTGGACGACGGTTTCGTTCTGTGGGAGTCGCGCGCCATCTGTCGGTACCTAGTGTACAAATATGGCAACGACAGTTCGCTGTATCCCAAAGACCCAAAAACCAGAGCCACAGTAGACCAGAGACTGGACTTTGATTTAGGGACATTTTATCCCAGTCTTGGAGAATACTTTGTAAGTAAATATTATTTCTTTGTAATTCGCTAACGTCGCAGATAATTTAGGTATGGACGTGAAACCTCGAAATGTCAGATAATTAGTAAATAGGTTATATTTAAATTTAAAAATTGCTCATAATATTTTAATTTCAACACTTATCTGTAGTACGCACAAGTTTTCAACGGTGTACCAGAAGACCCACAGAAGTTGGCAAAGCTAGAAGAAGTACTAGAGATTCTAAACACGTTCTTGGAGGACAGCAAATTTGCCGCGGGAGAGGAATTAACCTTGGCTGACCTCTGTCTCGTCACAACCGTGTCCACTATTGATGCTATTGGCATTAGTCTTGCGAAGTACCCCAACATTGAGAGGTAGAGATTTTTAATATCTTTAAAATACTTCGTAACCAGCGGATAAAGCTATTTGAAGTTAAAGAAATATGTATTTTATTAGTACAATATTTTGGTTTTTTTCTAAATGGTTTTTCTTATATTCCAGATGGTTCGAATTGGTCAAAAAAATAGCACCAGATTACGAAGAAGCGAACGGAAAGGGCGCAGAATTAAACAAACAAATGGCCGCAAAACTTCGTTCTAAATAATTATTTCCGAATACTTCTTTAAGTTCATTAAGTTAGTGGATAATTTTAATAACAAAATTGTTAATAACTTATACTATCATATCGACCACAGGTAATACAAAGCCAATATTAGTGTTGTTGCAAACAACAAGTCTTTTAAAAATATTTACGTTTGATTTTAATTTACTTCTGTATCGAATAAATTAGATTATAATCATTTCTATGGATAAATGTAATAAAAAACGGTTTTTAAACAATTATTTATTTATAAAAAATAGGATCGTTACAAGTAAAAGCTTGTATTGATCTCGTAATTTATTGCGATTCCGACATGGCCTCTATGAGCTTTTTGCCATCATCTGTGGTCTTCGTAATGACTTCTTCGAAATTTGGCAGAGTTGACTTCACAAGTGCTAACCATCTGCAAATTAAACACAAACAATATGAGTATTTGCTGTTGTTTGCTTTTAGAGGAATTAAACCAACAATTAGCATTTCCAACAATAATCAGTCAGCACCGAGTTTTATGCTTTTCAAATGTCGTGGCGGCTTGAACGAGAACATCACGCAGAACATATTTTAGGTGTACTTTCAGCCCGATAAAACGTTGGAACAGGTAGTAATTTCTACTCTAAAATTAAGAATGTTTAAATGAGCCCCACCTGACAATATTAGTATACTTCTCAATGCTGACATCAAAAGTCTGAAGCAGCGCGACAGTAACACCCAGACTAAAGTCGGCCAGCGTGGGTTCCACTCCCACGGCGAACTTGTTCTCTTTCAGATACACGTTATATACGTTGAGAGCATCATCCATCTTCTTCAACTGTTCCTCCGTCAAAGGTTTCTTCAATATTTTAGAGTACTGAAAAAAAACAATTCGATCTATCTATTTAATATTAGCTACCTTCTTTGAAGATCTATTATAGACGCCAAACATAAAATATGGAACAACAACGACTTTTGCGATTGTTAGTTTCATACTTACGTATACATCAATTAATTTAGGATAAACAGTCCCAATATCAAAGTCCAGCCTCTGGTCAACAAGAGCACGGGTCTCAATATCTTGCGGGTAGTATTTGTTGCCGCCATACTTCGCCACCAGATATTTGATGATGGCGCGGGACTCGGACAAGGCGAAGCCGTTGTCTACTATCGCAGGAGCTGTGTGCTGCGGGTTTATCTGGAATAAGAACATACGTCGTGTAAGAGTACAGAGTTTAGACAAACGAAATATCTTTACAAAGGTCTTCTGTTATTTATTATACTTTTGTTATTATACTTAGTTACAATAAATACCTTTAAATAATCCTCCTTTAAGTGTTCATCGTTCATTTCGTCTACACGATGTGTCTGGACTTGAGACTCAATGCCCAGCGCTGCAACGGTTAGTGTGACCACGGCGCAGGGAGGAGAGCCGTCCATGTAGTAGTAATCGATCGTCATCTTGATATCTAAAAAAATTAATAAGCCCAAATCAAAATCGCGCCATACCTAGCGTTTATCAAGTTTGAATCTGATAATACTTAATGTAGAAGCGTCATTCCCTGCTTCGCTCGAATGTGGACTGTCCAAATTGGATGTAATTTGGTAGCGTGTACTGAGAACATCGGGGAGGGTTCACAGTAAGCTAAGCTACTATAATATTTAAGAATGATCTACATCTGCCTCTTCCATGAATCATAAGGGTACATTTTATGCAAGATAGTGATAAGATAAGGTAGAATTTGCAAAAGTAAACAATATTGCTCTATTATTATACTTCATCAACTTGCCCATGTGCCAAAGTGTCGACACATTATGTGCTGCTCTTCCATATATTTATATCAGTCGTCATATCCGAATGAACTCCCTTCTTAAGCATATCCTGTTTCTCGCTATACATCCATACTTTCTTCAGACTTCCTCTACATTTGTAACCATCCATATTCAATCTTAACACTTTATCAGTGGTAGAGCCCGCTTTAATATCTTCGCACCAATGGGTCGGCTCGCCCGGTGTAATACCACGGCCATACAAAAGAAAGGCGTGAAGCGGGAGCAATTCCGCGATTCGTCTAATAAGTGTGGTGCCGGAGGCCCAAAATTAGTCCCTTTTCCTTCCCACTCTTTTTCTTATAAGTATAGGATGGAAAGGCAACGTGGATTTGACAACGGAGGATACGCATATGAAGGGGAAATATCCTCTTTATGTGCGTCTCTTCCTTCGTCGATAAAGGAAAGGCAACGCACCCGCTATTGCGAATATGGGCAGCGGACATTTCGCCATTTTGGCGGAATCAGGTGGCCGCATGCTCGTTTTCCATCTTATGATATAAAAAAAGCTTTCTGGTTTATGTCCTCATCCTCTCATTTGTATGAAGGATTTGTTATCAAGTAACTCCAGAACCACTGAACGTATCTGGATAATATTTGAAATAGAACAAACAACATTCTGGAATAACGCGTAAATCTACAGTTTGTTTTTTAATTCTACGTGGACGTAGTCGCGGATGACAGCTAGTAATTGCCGTTAATTGAACAAAAACGAAAATCTAATATTAACATGTTCAACAAATAACTTTTTGTGCTGATATTTTATTTTTTACCTTCATCACAATATCTAACGCATATTTCTTGCGTTGCTCGTTGCTTATATGAGTATGTTACACTTTGTTACATAATTAATTAAAATTAACAAGCGCTATTACATCATGATAGTTCAATATATGCTTAATTGAAAAAGCACTGTCCCAGTTATCTTTACAAACCTACCAATATTTCATCACATTTTGATTATATTGAAAATTATAGACAAAGCATGAAAAACAATAATATGAACATTACATTTTATTATTAAAAATAATCACTTACCAATTTATCTTTAGTACTCTGGCAGAATGTGAACGATGTTTATAAAAGAGGTACGATTGTCGACTGCGCCCGCGATATCTATACTATAAATTTTGACTTTCGTAATGACTTCGCATTTTGAATGTTCTCTATCACAACATTCAAGATAAGACTTCAAGCTGTGTTATCAACATTTATGTCTATACTAGCTTTCGCTCGCGACTCCGTCCGAGTGGTATTGAATATACAAAAGTGAATAGCCTATGTGTTCTTCCAGACTATCCTCTACATCTATGCATCCATCCATCTAAACTTTTACATTTATAATATTAGTATGATTTAAAGGGGTATGTTTGTAGGATAAACTGAAAACTTTATGAAGTGTGTTTAATATATTCAGTGAGGAACATCTAATCTACTCGTAATATAACCTATAAATGCTAAAGTATAGAAAGATGGATGGATGTTAGAGTTAGCCAAAACTACTAGACGAATCTCGATGAAATTTGACATAGATGTAGAGGATAGTCTGGAAGAACACATGGACCATTTACTTTTGATTTTTTTTTTAATTTTACGTGTTATTCATTTAATAAATCCTCTATTTAAAAACATTCGTGCAACGTAGAGACATTATTAAATAGACGAAATGAAATGTCTAAAGACTAAGGTCTAAGGACCGTTTTGTACGGCACTTGAGCAATTTTGCTTAGGCATTGTGGTATCAGATTGTTTTATAGACCCACTAGCTTACTAATGAAATTTTGCATTTACAATTTCACAGTAAAAAAGACCAATCAGTTTTATTTCTTTAATATTCTCATTTGTAACGCATTAAATTATACATTTGGACTATAATATAATCTATTGTGATTTCTCCTTGCTGCTAACAAGCTGTTCGCAGAATTTAACATACTCCATTGCTATATTTTCAAATTTCGGTATCGTCGACCTCACGAGTGTTAACCACCTGCGAAAAAAACGAGGTATTACATTATTTAACATTGGTAGAGCCCGCTTTACAATCTTCACACAACAGCCTCCCGCAATACAACGACCACACAGAAGACAGGGGTGGACACCGCCTTTGTGTACACCGTACTTACGCCTGCAAAATGCTGCCGCCACAATCTACTCGACTTAATTACTAGTGCAAACTAGTACAAACGTATTAATGACAGACATTTAAGAAATATATAAACTAGGCAGTGAACAACATTTTTTCAACGGTAATTTCTTTGACTGGTCATATATCAGTTGTCAAGTTTAGTACATCTGTTGTTCTTATAAAATAAACTAAACAGTGTCAAAAAATAAAATGTATTATAATATATATTGACAATTAATTGTATTGATATTTGGTTGTCACAGATAGCGTTGATGATTTTCGTTTACCAATTCCACAATTTTTATTATTCATTATACCATAAGGCGGCAAACGATTAAAGTTGGGCCTCCAGCACGCAAACATGCAATTAATAATAATAATAGTAATAGATGACCCAGAAAATAGAAAAGTATACACACCCTATCGGTTACGAGAACAGAAAAAAAATCATGTTACCTAACTGGTTAGGTAAATTTAGTTAGGTAAACGGAACAAGTCAAAATGTCTCTAGTGAAGTCTCAACTATGCCTACTCTATATAATTTTAAACTCTTTGATTAATAATAAAAGTATATGAGGTTAGTAGGCTCACCTGGTAGTGTTAGGATACTGCTTCATGTTAATTTTGAAAGCTTCACAAACTAACGCAGTCAATGCTAGACTGATGTCGGCCAGCGAAGGTTCCGCTCCAGCGACATATTCGCTGCTTCCGAGTATGTTATTTAGAACAGTGAACGCCTCATCTGTTTTATTCCTCTGGTCCTCACTCAAAGACAATCCAAGGACAGTAGATTTCTGTAAAAATAACACTATTATTTCCAACTGAGTTGTTTAACACCTACTTTTATAGCATAGATATTATCAAAATGAGAAGGCAGAGTTTATAACTAGCTTTTGGCCGTGACTTCGTCAGTTTGGAATTAAAAAGAACTTAATAAGAAGTCTATTTGTTCTTCCAGACAGTATTCAGACATATTCCCAGTTTTTTTTTATTTAAATTACTTTTCTGTAGTGTGAACTAATGTATACCAAGCTGAACTAAAGGTGGGAAGTTACAAACTATGGGATTCATCATGGTAACCCAGAACAGGCATCTCCGAGCCCACGTTACAAACACCTATAGCGATCAGCATTAAAATAACATTATTAAGTGCTTCTTGCGAAATAAAACTTACATATACTTCAAAAAGTTTGGGGTACAAGGTCCCTATATCGAAGTCCAGCCTCTGGTCTATAAGGGCGCGGGCCTTGATGTCTTGTGGGTAGTATTTGTTGTTGCCGTATTTCGCCACCAGATATTTAGCAATGGCGCGAGACTCCGACAAGGCGAAGCCATCGTCTACTATGGTGGGTGCTTTACGCTGTGGGTTTTTCTGTCAAAACACGATAGAGGAAACTTTAGCAATCACAGTTAGAATGAGACATCGTATTGTCAGAAAAGATAATGCTTTACGTATTATCTGATATCATCATTATAAATCACCTAATATTAATTAAAAATAAACCGATGAGTCACTCTAATAGGTTAATAGCGCCATCTATTGGCTGAGTTTTAAAGAATGTAACCTTACCTTTGCGTATTCTTCCGTTAAGTGTTCTTTGGCTTCTACGTTGATAAGGTGACGGTTGACCTGAGACTCTATGCCCAGTTCCGCTAATATAATCGATATCACGGTGCAAGGGGGCGAGCCCGTCATGTAGTAAAAGTCGATAGTCATTTTGTCTGGAAATTCTAAAAAGTGTTCAAATATTATTACAAACTAGCTTTCGATTGCGACCCCATCCGCGTGGATTTAAAAAAAAGCACCCTATTTGTTCTTCCAGAACGCGTATGCGTTTCATCTAAATCTTACTTCTTACTAATCTTATTAATATTATAAATGCAAAAGTTTAGATGGATGGATGGATGGATGGATGGATGGGTGTTTGTTAGCGTTTGTAGCCTAAACGGCTGAACGGATCTCCATGAAATATGGCACAGGTTTAGAGCATAGTCTGAAAGAACACATAGGGTTCTTTTTATCCCGGGAATAGTTACGGTTCCTGTGGGATTCATTAATTTAGTTTTTTAATGTTTACTCGATCATTCTGCAACGGTTCAACATATCCTTTTGAAATTTGGCACAGATATAAAACAAAGTCTGTAGTACACATGGGATAAGGTTTATCCCCGAGAAATGTCCGGTTCCCGAGGGATACGTAGCTTTTTGTTATTTATATAGTTCGTATGTTTTCTAATACCACACGAACGAAGTCGCGGGCAACAGCTCGTTATCTATAAATCTAAGTATAAAAGGAAGATTTCTTTCAAATAAATATTTGATATGCTTATATTAGTAAAAATTGTGAAGTATTAGTAAACAATATATCAATATTTTAGGGATTTCTGACAGGGATTTTCGCTTGAATTAACGTTAAAATGCGTGTCAGGTTTAACTACTGCTATTAAAAAACAAGAAAACATTTAATAAGTAACTCACGAAAAACGGTGTTGTCGATTGCTCAGGCCAATGATGACTATCATCAATCTTTCGGATTGTCATTACCTACACCCGTTTTTATACAGGAAATCTTGCACAACAATAATATGTTATCTCTATACTAATATTAAAAAAACGTAAGTAATTTGTAATTGTATATTTTTGTTTGTAAACTCAATAATAGGAATGATTACAAAAAATCTTTTGCCATTAGACAAAAACTTGCGGACATAGTCGCGAGCTGAAGCCAGTCTATATCTATACTTATTATAATAAAGCGTAAACACACACTTCTTTGTTGCCTAAGATGTCAGCAATTAGTTACAGCTCATTTTAATATATTTTTTTATAATAAAAAGCCCTACACTTATGTCACGCTATATATTTTCATGCCATTAAACTTAGGGGGTAAATATTTTGGATAAAAACCTTAATGTGGGCAAGAAACTATAAGTTGCTGCCAACATCAAGGAAGCAAGGTTGCCATGGTTTGTCATCATCATGTCATTTTGGCATTTGCAATTGATAATTTGACATATGTAAACAATAAAATAAAATATTCATAATTTTATGCGGATGAAGTCACTCGGGAACAGCTAGTTAATATTGTAAAGAGACTAAACTTGCATTTTTGTATTGAATTAACTCAACAATTACTGGGCCGATTTCACCATCAGAAAGCCACGTTATCGATGAGTAACATAGGCTATAATTTTTAATTGTACATGGACGAAGTCACGAGCAACTGCTAGTCTTAAATAAAACAATATGTTTACATTCTAAATTTTTCAATTTTTACGTTTAAAACAGTATTTAAGTAAGCAAATAATAAGGTAGTATGCGCAAGTTTGCATAGTACAAAGGGAAAGGATCATTACACCCCCCTTCTTATGTTAGGTTAACCCTTATAGGCCTATAAGATGTCTGTGATTAAACATGCGAATACAACCCGATATTTTAGACATTTTGTGTTCAAAAATAATATCACTAGAAAAACAGCAGGGTGTAAAGATTTCCTATGTTTTTCCCATATTCAATACCATAATAATTGAATAATCGATAACGATTTTTGTAGAGGGGAATATTTTTCCCTTGAGCGTGAAATACACTGCCCACTCCACTACTACCACTATGGTGCGTTACTCGGTGTAATGCCGTGTTCTAGATTACTAGATGTACACTCGCAACGAGTGGCTCGTTTTCCTGTAACATTCTCGTCGTAAATACATTTAACAAAGTAACATCGGTCATCACACACCTTAGAGCAGGCGGACACCTATTAATTCAGTAATTAAAGGGATTATTCCCAACCGTCACCCGCTCTGTCCCCAGGTGAAAATAAAACGTTTTATCCGTCCCACCTTTTAGTCCAACTATCACCAATAGGTGATAGTGGGACTAAAAGGTGGGACTTCCTTTTCGTTTCTTTTTTCTTTCGATTTCCTTATTAGGTATCGTTTCCAATTAAAATAAGTTCCAACCGACACTACGTAGCAAAATGTGGGACGAATGAAAGTCTTTTTCTCATATGTCTCCACGTGGCCACAGAGCGGGGTGACGGTTGGGAATAATCTAATTAAAGCGCGACTAAACAGTTGTGCGATAGTTTAGTCAAAGGTGTACGCCTGCCCTTAAAGTGTGACATAATAATATTGTTAAAGGGATTTTTAATTCCGCATCACTCTAAATAGCAGTAATTTTTTACGATACACGAATTTTTCATTAAGGCGATATCTAGCATTTTTTAAATCGTATTAAAAAAATCTTCATGTCACTAAAAAAACGCGAGTCACTGCCAAGGTCATCGCGCAATTTCCACAAATGACGATCAGTCACTGGGTTACACAATAATATGAAATATTTTTTTTTGTAAATAATAGGTAATACTGAAGTACTATAATAGTTTTTTTTTATTACGTTTCGTCTCATGTATTCAGTGTTCATTATTTCTATTATTTTTCTTAGAAATAATAAGAACGTCGCTAGTCGAGTTTTTAAAATATTTGGTAATAATTTTGTCTTGTACTTTAAAAAAATATTCTCAAACAATACTTTGATTCTTGATATCCACTATTGTTTTATAACCAGAAAATATGTCAATAGCCAGAAAAAATAATTAGAGTACATAAAAAGTATATGACTGAGAAATGGGAGGGAACGATGGGAACGAAGATAGTTTGGGTTTCTTTTATGGTGGCAAATAAAAGAATGAAAACAATTCATTACAGTATTTACTCATTTATTATAAGAATATAACCATTACCTTTATAACGATTATTTTTTTTTATACTGGCTGTTCCCGTGCGGCTTTATCCGCATTAAGTTATAAAAAATTATAAAAACTTAATTTTATCGTCTACATTTGTCAAATTCTAAAAGGCAAATGTCAAAATTACCGTTACCATACCTTGCTTCCTTAATGTTGGCAGCTTGTAACTTATGGTTCCTCCCCACATTAGGGATTTTTTTTGTAATTCATTTACCTCCTAAGTTTAATAGCATAAAAATATACAGCCTAAAGGGTGTTGTAAGTATAGGGCTATTTATTGGAGAAATATTATTTCAAAATATATGCTTTGATTGCTACGTTACATCCTACGTTACAAATCAGTGTGTTTACGCTTTATTACATAGTATAGAAATATAGATGAGTCACTGTTTGTCAAATATTTAATTTTTAAGACTATTAATAATAATATCCTATTTCTTTTTTTTTTAAGTCTAATCTATTGTTTTTCTTTTACACATATACTGCATACAACTACCATTTGACACGGCTGTAATTCCAATTTAATTTAAAAATTAACATATTCAATGTCACTCGCTTACATAAAATTACGATTTTTCTAGTCGTGCCTGCTCCGCACGTTCCATAAAGGTGGCCTCTTTGTAGTATTCTATCGCTTCGCTATGATCTTTACCAAATTTCCCCAAAATCTCATCAAACTTTGGCGCTGTGCGTTTAACGAGCTCAAACCATCTGAAAAAAGAATTGTTGTATACTAATGATGTATTAAATAGTACTGGCCATACATCGGTCGGTGTTGTTAATTGTTAAACTTTTAACAAATTTATCATGTACCTGACTATGTTAGGATACTGCTGAACATAATTATCTGTGATCCTCATTGTCTCTATGGTGACAGCCAGGTTCAGGTCAGCTAAGGTCATGTTGGAGCCAACCGCGAACTTATTACCTTCTAAGAAGCTGTTGAGGAATCCGAGCGCTTCTTGTACCATCTTAAACCTGTTCTCGCTCAAAGGAGATCCGTCAATAATCTGCCAATACTAATGGAAAAACATATTTATTTTATTAAATTTAACCTTAGATACATTCTATTTAGATCTTGATTTAAAGTAGAAAGTGACAAGAACAACCGCGTCTGTGACCGTTACACATGTCAACGATCGTGTTGAACCAGACTTGTGCGGTCAGCCGATTAGCAGAAGA